TGTATTCCAGTAAGTCCATCACAGCACGGAGGCCATGACAGCCAGAGGATGAAGGTGCCATGCAACAAGAAGATGAAGGTGCTTGCTCGAATCTCCGAACCCAACATCAGAGTCAGACAGGAAGTAGAATGGAGCCGCAAGGACTGTGGCCTGGAGACACACATTTTCTACTTAGATCCACAGCCTCCCCAGAGAGCACCAGCTGGGGACCGAGAGGGAGACTCTTCACATCAGAGCCACAACATTAGACATTTACAAATTCATTCAAAAAGGTGTTGATCCCACCCACACAGGAAAAACAAGTCTTTGATATTACTGATGAGGCCGCTTTGCCCCACTTGGGTATAAACCCGGGGTCCCTTCTGTTCCAACACTTAATTCTGTCCTTATCTGGAAAGGAAGCTGCCCCCCACCATCTCTACCCTTACTTATCTCTGTGTCCCTCAGTTTTACTTATGAGTCCATTCCTGGGGCCGGAGAGACCACTTGGTGCTTAAGAGCGTTTGGCTGCTTTTGCAGAGGCCTAGAGTTTAGTTCCCAGATCCCACATCGGATGGCCCACAGCTGGCTGTAAATCCAGCTCCAAGGGATCTATCACTCTCTTCTAGCCTCTTTGAGTACCTGTGTGCATGCTCAAACACGCACGCGCGCACACACACGCACACACACACACACACGCACACACACCTGTTTTTAAAGGAGTAGGCCCAGCTGCCTCTTCTGCTATGACTTGAGTTGCTTCCGCATTAAAAACCAATCACACAGAATCGCATGGAGTGTGCGAGCGGTCTCGACACAGAGGCTGCAGCCCAACCCCCAGGCTGCTGCTCTCACGCAGCCCAAGCGACCGCAGGATACAGACATGGTGCCCACAGCTTGCACAAATACATGCACAGCAGCCTCCCTCGCACAGGCTCCTGGGTCAACAGCCTTTTGATTGGCTTTCACGCCCTGTCACGGGTAAGGAAACATCGACTTACGTTTCTGCCTCGTCCTGTGAAGCGAGCACTCGGCTTTCTGAGTCTGTAATGGGAATGCCGCCACTCACTGCTCTGCTTCACCTTCTAGATAGAGCTGGGACAGAAATGCCAGAGTGTTATTTTTCAAAGGAGGACTTAGCCACATGGAAGGGAGTCACCACTCTCACACACAGGGACCTGACATCCCTCTAATGCAAATGCCCAAGGGACCTCCACAGAGATCAACAGTAGCACTGGACCCCGAGAAGGGAGTCGAGGCTAATTTGGCTCCCCAGGTCACATGGAAATGGAAGTGGGGAGCACAGGGGGGTGGGATGGTCTTTTCTTTCGGCTCACAAGACCGAAGCACATTTTACATTTCCCAAAGGCCATAATTATTTCCTGGAGAAGAAATTCAAATGACCCAGATAGTTGATTCAGTGAGATTGGCCCCAAAAAAGTATTTACCTAAAAGGCAGTTTTGTCAAAAATAACATCACAACATAGTCAGGGCTAGCTTCCAGTGCCTGAAACATGGGAGTGAGGGGCCCAAGGCTGAGGCCTAATCTGATTAGGGAGGGCAGGGGTGTGGGTGTCACAGGGAAGACGCAAAGGAGGGAGAGATAGGGAGAGAGGGAAGGAGTGGGGGAGGAGAAAACCTGAGGGGGAGGTCTCAACAGGAAAAAAATGTAATAGGCCACAAGGTCGATTTTCCTCTCAGTCACCCCTTCCCAAGGAACACAGACAATTCCCTTCAACCCATGAACCCCTGAGCTCTCTAAGATGACTGGGTCTGACGTGGGCGCATGGAGTCACAAGGCTGTGCTCATGGAGACCGGGTCATCATTTGCGTTGCTGTGGCATTGGTCCATCCCTGGACAAAGGGCTTTCTCCATGGAATAAGCTGCGCTGTTCCTTCTGTATGCGCCTTCTCCTGATTCGGTGAGGCTAGAAGAAGATGCTGAGAGCCCTCAAGAGGCCCCTGTCCTCCATCCCCCAAGGAAATCCTTGAGAGGACCCTGTCCTCCCTCCCCCAAGGTGCAGGGCCAGTCCCTGTGTGTGGATGCTGGGGTGGTTCAGGGAGGCCTGGTTAGGAGCTCAGCCTGCCTAGCCAGGGGCTGCAGCACCGCCATGCTGATAACACACTGCACTAGCTCAGATGCAACAGCCCGCAGGCCAGTAGGTGGTTCCGAGTTCCAGTGAGAGCGAGGCAAGGTATGGATCAGGCTCTCTAGAACCCCGGCAGGAAACACGG